TTCTATTCTATAATTTTATTAATTCTATTGAGAAACCATGAGAAAAAGGTGAATATTCAAAAAATAATTATTTATTATTATGTTTTGAACTATGCTGCATAGCTGTGTTTTGCGGTGTGTTTGTCGTCAAACTCAAAAATTAGTTTATTTTAAATTCTTAAAAAAATGCCATTATTTTATATGAAAAAGCTAATAATTGTATTTTATTGAGAAAATATTTTAGTTTGTCATATATTTTTTGATTAGATCAGATAACATTTGAACTGTCATATGGTCATGTTGCAACGTGCCACCTATAGGGCATGTTTTCACATTTCACTTCCATTCTTTCGGGGTATATCAAGAAAAAAGTATACACTGTATTAATGAAACAAAACCACATAATTGTACTAGACGTGTGAAATTAATGTGGGGGAAAAATAATACTCTGAACCCCAAGTAGGTTTACACAAACTGAGAGAGTCAAAAAGCTTTAGGTTGTGCCCCATTCTCCCCTATGTCAACTTAATCAACTGACCTAACCCTATCCTAACAGTTTACTAATACTCTAATGAGAGATAGTTGAAATGTAGTTGAAAAGTGCTACTGAAATTGTTGTTTAACTGATTTTGGTATGGTTTTAACTTGAAAACTCCTTAACCTAATTAATATTCATAAGCTTATGTTCATGAGCATTTTCCATTCTCTTACAATCAAGCACATCCTCACCTCCGAACCAAGCTTCTCTTCAAGCAAGCAGACAGACAGATTAAATACATCATGTAAGACACTGTCTGGCTGTGTGTGTGTATAAAGTGGGCCAGTCTAACAGTAAAAGAGCACAAGATATGTGTGAGTGAGTGTGTGTATGTTTACAAAGGACAGAAGAGTAAATTGAGAACAGGAGGTCCCTGCTTATCAGCTGAAAAACAAGCCTCTTCTCCCTCACTGTTATCTTCCCTCACTACCTGTGTGATCACATAAGCCTCAGGCAAAAATACGCAGAGATGCATATGCAGCGACTCATGGATCAGAGTCACGGTCTAGAGCACGGCTGTCTTTCGCATCCTATTTGGTCATCAAATCCAAAAGCCCTCATTTATTGTTAACTCATCGTTTGAAAGCAAACGTGAGGAGCATGCTAACGTTAGCTCACTAGCTGTGAGCGCGTTCTCTCTGTTTGAGTCCAACTTCAAAGGCTATGATAAGAGTCACTGAAGTGCTTTCAGTGCTTGCAATGGTTGCCGTGGCAATGGTGGCAGCAATCTCATTCAGGATAATAGCTTTGAATATTATGGTGAAGATCCGGAAATTGGTTGGTTGCAATTTGGTGATTTGAAAAGCTTGAGGGTACCGAAGGCTATTTTCTGCTGGATAGTTTGTACAGCTTCTTTATACAAACAAGATTCTTACTCTTGCGCATCTGATTGTTGTCTGTCTGTCTATCTATCTATCTATTTATTTATCCATCCATCCATCTATCTATCTATCTATCTATCTATCTATCTATCTATCTATCTATCTATCTATCTATCTATCTATCTATCTATCTATCTATCAGTAGGAAGTACAGATATTTGTAGGAAGATTAAATACATCAGTTAAATCATCGAGAATCAAAATTCTTCTGTTATTATAGCTTCATGAGGGTTGACAAACCTAGTTAGGATCAAAATGCAAGGAAATTCGGGGAAATTAAAACCATTAAAAGCTTTAATAGGCTTGAGAGGCACTGACGCGTGTCTGAAATTTCCTGAGAACCATTAGAAGCGAAGTTATGTAAAAACATCAGTCTTGTATAAAAAGATTTGAACATCATAACAGACAATCCACATTTTAGAACGTGCAGCATGACCTAGAACATGAAATTCTTTCATGGCATTTCCAAAGATGTTGAAAGTCTCAAACAGATTACTTGGAAATGTAGGCGTGACGTTAGCTTACTGCTGCGAGGCAGATCCGTGGAGTACTGATTATGTTTAGGATCAGGGTTCCCAGCATGCTCAGCAAGCCCTTCAGATATCTTCAGAACAGGCACAGAGCTTTAAGATAAACTGTGCAGAATCGAGACCAGCGCACACAACATGCAGTGATGTTCCTTATGGTTTGTGGAGCTGCACAATTGAAGGATGTCACACAAAAAAAAACAGATGAAAAACAGATCTGATGGAGCGAGCACTACAGGCTGAAGGCAACTGATTTCAGTGTAGCACAGCGTGGAATTGTTGGAGGTTGTGAGGTTACAGGATCTCAGTTAATCCCTCACACCCTGTTGAATCCCTCTCCAGTTTTCATCTCCCTCACTTATTCATGTTCGAGACAAGAGGAAGAAAAACAAATCTCGGGCTTCTCTTCCATCCTTGTACTTGATTTCCTTCAGATGACGCTTGCTGTCGGCGCACAGGGGCCGTGTTTATATTTATTCATATTTATTTATTGAAATGAGCTGCACTTTGCCTCTTTAAAGGGGAATTCTCTCAATACCAGGAGTGTGTGCATGCATTCATCTTCACCTACTCTCAAACACCAATGGAAAAAAAGGCTACTTTCTTGTTTAAAAAACTGACAGGTTTATAGAACAAGCAAACACTGTCATGAAAGCCATGGCAGAGAGCACCATGTACAAACAGCTGGGCAATCGACATGCATTCCACAAAAACAATGATGTGTGTCATGAGTCATGACATGAGAAATACTGTGATTCTTATGTACAGAGATAAAGTAAATTTTAAGTTTTTCACTTAGCAGAGTACCAAAATGTACCATAGTAATACCACGTTTTTTGGTCATGTACCATGGTAACATCACACTAGTATTCATTGAAGGGTGCAGAAGAGCAGCAGCAATTTCCCAGCTCAAAAGTATTCTGCAATCAGTCCACTTCAACTCAACTCTGTATTTTCAATTTCCTACTCAAGGTTGCAGTGCATTAGTGTAATGTTAATATTTCGTAAGTAGTTAGAAATTCTACATAGACTACACATGAGAGGAGGGGGAAATGTTAATAGAATTAAATCAAAATTGATCAGACAAGTTGATTTAAGAAAAAATAAAATAAAGAAAAAAAAATTATATTATTTGACTATTTCCCCCATTCTTTCCTTCTGACTGCTGATGGCAAGAAAATAAACAATAAATCAATTTTGGTTGTCTTTCATATTTCACAATTTTCATGAATCATTTTGTCTGCTAATAGTCTATTACAACTGTGTCTAACACATGCATTCTGGGATTATGATGACGTGTTGTGTTTGCGATGGAGCAGTGATCTTGGAGTGAGAGAAAACACCAACGCTTTAAAAAAAACACTCCTTGCTCCAGGCAAAAACATGCAACACTGCTCCCCACACCCCTTCCACTCTGCACTGGAGAATCAATTACAGTAAACATCATATGAATATTGTATATTATTTTATAATAATTTTACCATAATAAGAATGCCCTTTAATCATATTCACTATATTTACAATACCTCATTGCTGAAAAAAACAAAAAACAAGAATACTACTTTTTTTAACCAATGTTGCAGCGTATACCAATTAATATGATTAAACCACTTCTGTGCAAAAGTATATAAAAACTTCAATAACAGACAGAAAATTATGCATTTACCATCGAGCACCTTTAAATAGCCCTTCAGCATAATCAAACACAAGGATCGAATTCTCTCATTTGAAAAATACAGATGTACTAGCGCACACTCGATGTGCCACTGAGCTACTTGAGGAGGTAAGGGGATTGTGGGTAAAGTATTTGTAGTGGGTCGCAAGCAGGCAATAGGAGATCTGCACGTCCTTCAGAAATGCATCCACGGTTACTACTAATGTTAATGTCTGTCAGCAGGGATGCCGCCAAGAGCCTCTTGTGTAGAAGGAGACTTGATAGACACTCACAAGCTATTTGCTTGTCAGATTATCACACATGGCAGTGAGGTTTTGGTGTTGACTAACACATTTATTCATGAAAAGAGCCGTAGATGTGTGCAAACCAACCGTTGTTTGTGTGTTTCAGTGTGTCTAAATGTGTAACTGTAGACAGACAGGTAAAACGGATCATCTGGGGTTTAAAATGTTTAAACGTGATAACTTGTTTATTCTTCAGCAATGATGTGGTTTACATTTGTTGTCCATGTGGATATTGTGACAGATCTGTTTAGGCTATACCCATCTTTGGATCTATGAAGAATGAAAATGATTTTGGTCCTCATTTCATTGTGACACTTACAAACAATAAATGTGAAAAAAAAGAAGAAATGTGTCACTTTCCTTGAGGCACTTCTATGGTTCTTCATAGGTGCATGTAAGTTTTTTTTAAAGGAATAGGTCACAAAATATAGAAAATTCTGTCATTATTTACACTAATTTACTTCTCTCTTTCATTGTAAACAAGGTGGAACCGATTTACAGTGAATGATGACTCCGTATTTGTCCTCACTCAAATGTGTCATGATTCAACAGACTTGGAATATAAAGTTGAACAAATAATAAATAAAATATATGGATTCTGGGAGCATAATTCCATTGACAAAAAACAACAACAAAAAAACAGAAGAGATGGGTTAATTTATTTTCCAATTGCATTTATATTTTTTTCCATTCTTTCTTGTCATTTTTTTAGTATGACAGCGCCATTTGTTATTGTGCAAAAGAACACTAAATAAATCCTGCATTAAATCTTCTTTGGTGCTCCACAGAAGACATTCTTACAGGTTTGGAACGACATGAGGGTTGTTAATGATGACAGAATTCTCATTTTTGGATGAATTATTCCTTTAGGAGTATAGTTGTGTGCTAACCCTCTAATATTCCTCCATGAAATTGCAGACTTACATTTATAATTGCATTTATAATTGTTTCATATTCCAGATGACGACTTATCACATCATCATCTTTATAAGATACATGTATTATTTGATAGCGTGGGCGCTCTGGCATTCTATTGATTACCTCTTTATTAGTCATGTTAGCTGTATTGACTTTTTATATTAAAATAAAATAACTTTTATATGTACTTGTACTCACAGTTCTATGGCCTTGTTCCACATGATGACATATCCAGACAAAACGAAGGATTCGATGTTCACTATGTGTGTATTTCCACGCTCTGTCCCCACATAAAGCCATTTACTTTGAAACGGAAGATGACAAAATGTGATCCTAAAAGAGAGATGGAAAATGGAGGTATTATATTTGTGCAAGAGAGAATAAGAGATCACACAGGGTATGTCAGCATCATGTTAAAGTATGTTATAGATATCTCACTATGAAGAACCAGCAAGCCAATAATTACCATTCTAACTAATATTTATCACTGTTTTTGTTCATGTGCACAACAATCACATTTTAGCCAATTACATTGCAGTCACAATTTTCTTCAGAAAGCTGCAGATGTAAATACAAAACCCCATGAGAGTTTAATGTGTATTATTGTGCATACTCATTTCCAGAATGTGGTTAGACAGTGAACCGTGCAAAAACTAAACAAGCCAAATTATATGTGCAAGTTTAAAGTTCTGCTCTATCCCAAACATTTTTCAACATGTCCTTGCTCATCTTTTGAGCTAAGGCTGAACTGTCAATTAAAATATGAAGCACAAAATGACCTTGTATGATTATTAAACAGGAAAAAGGCTTTAACTGAATGAAACAAATATATGGCCTGCATGCACGGTGGGCTTCAAAGTGAAGGGGTGGTGCTCTGTTTAGTCTCTCGACTATTACACAAGCACGCTTGGGACTCATGATAGGATGTTTTCACACTCGGTTCATTTCAATGGTCTCATAGAGTGTTTGCAATGCATGAAAGCTTTGAACTCCATCACTAGAGTTGGTTTGAGTTTGCTTTCCTGGGGTGAAGCTTGCCTATAAAACGCATGTGCAAAGAAGCCCAGACAAACATTCATGAAATTCTTTTTGTAAATTACTTCACAAACCAGACAGAGACGAGTTATGTGAACAGAGGAGGGGTTGACAAAAGAAAAAAACAAAAAAAAAAAACATGGTCAAATACACAGGCTTCAAAAATCGCTTGAATCCTTTAAAGAAAACCTTTGGCTGAATAGAAAAAAGTATGCCTTTATGCCTATTCTTTTAGGTTTTATTAGGAGCAGCACTATGAGATGTTTATAACATTTATCACATCACTGTTCAAATTGGAAGCATGACGTCAAAACTACCAAATCTTTACTGTGTTAATTCACTGCAGTTATTATTATTATTATTTTTAATTATTATGTTTTAAAAAGAATGTAATTACTTGTGGCAATCCCACAAGAAAAATGCCTTGCTAAACCACATTTAAGGGCAGTTCATCCTCTTCCATCCAAAGTACCAACAAAAACAGTTGTTGGTTTATTTAGCACACATTTACATAGACCAACAATTAGAAAACACCACAGAGGGAATACAAGAACGCATCCTGTGTGAAAAAACCCTAAATCTACCTCATACAGTTTACTTTAAATGGATTGCTGTGTCCTGTCGGTCCGTGAAAACACTCTTACATTCAGTAATATGGAAATAAACAATTTATTGACATCTAAAAGACATTTTTTGTAAACTCTATTCAATGCTGCAATTTAATGTCAATTATCTTCATTTGGGGGTTTATGTCAGAAAATATTGATAAACAATATATGATTAGTTGTGAATAATATGATAATTTAATTATGTATTCAATCTTTTTTTAAACAGAGCCCAAATCTTGCAGCCCCATTCTGAGTCGTTCATGTTCAGAGGCAGTGATTCATAGCCCTCTGTGGCTCTGTTTCTTTAGCAGTTGGAAGTAACACTTGTCACACTTGTTCATAGTGTTGCCTGGTTTGGATCTGCTCTAAGGCTCATGCCAGTCAAACGTCAGCCCCTCTTGGGTACACTTGTGTGTATTTTGGGATGCAGCAATTAATTGGAACACGATTACCTCAAGACAAACTGGAGCTAATGAGACATGAATGAGATGAGAGGAGACACTGACTCTTAGACTGACTCTGTTTTCTCTATTCAGGCAAACCACGTATATGACATAAAATGATTCCCTCGTGCTGGTGTGTTGTTTGTTTCCATGTGTTCCACAGTCTGTAAAAGGTTAAAATAATAGAGTAATATATTTGGATGATGCTCACTACGTTAATTGCGAAATAATTACAAAATTAGGCAGCCTGTTAGAACTCTGATTTATCTCTGCTACTGTCACAACAGAAACTCTCCAGGGAATGCGTCTAATAACACGCCACATATTCATACACATGTAAACAGGGTTAAGCATTAAAACTGAGATGTGCACTTATTATTAATGCTAAACATGACATTTTATAATTCAGCAGCTTATAAGTGACTGTTCATATATTATAAAGATTATCCATGGTTAACTGTGGCTCTCTAAGACATTAATCCAGATACATTTGAAAACGGCGTTTTCGTTTCAAATAGCTCTCCGTCCACACTAGCGTTTTGCAAAAGTTTCCCATTCACACTGATACGTCGGAAAACATTAAATTCACCATTATGCGCATGCGTAAAACCTCATAAAAGCTCACTGATATGATCCAGATGGAACAGACATAATAAAAGTTCTCATGCTATTCTTCTGGCATCATCTTTTTATTTAGCAAATTATCTCACCATTCACTGATGTGTCCAGGAGGTTGCACTCAGTCTCCACTATAGGCTATGTTTGTTCTAAATTCTAAAATGCAATTGCCCTCATGTTTTGCCCCATGACAGCAATTGTGAGTACATTTTCTGTCATCTTTGCAGGAGTGCGATATGAACAGTGTGAAAGTGAATAGCACATAACAGGCACAATAGCATTATAAACATAGATATCTATCGGTTCAATATGCATCACATGACTAAACATGCGTCATCGTTTTAAAATACCTCAGTTTTCACAACAGTTTTCAACGCCGTTTTCAAATTTATCCACTTGGGATAAAAGCTCAGTTTTCGCAGGACAAACACGCCGTCTCAGTGTGGACGGAAGGCCAAAACGGAGAGAAAAAGATGCGTTTTCAAACGAAAGGGCATTAGTGTGTGGACAAGGCCTAACAACATGTCATATTCTAGCTCAACCATTGTTGAGTTTTGGATAGGGGTGCGCCGATCCGATATTCGGTATCGGTATTAGTCCGATACTGGCCAAAATCACTGGATCGGATATTGTATGAATCGCCGGAGTATATTCCGATCAGATACGACCACGGACCTAGTCATAAACTGTCAAACAAATGCTTAACAACACCTGAGAGACATGCCGTAAAGAGAGATGAGCAACATGCGTCACGCTGCAGCTGCACACAGGGTCGCCAGATTTTCACAACAAAACCCGCCCAATTGCATTTTAAAAAGTAGCCAATCGCGTTTCGGGGTGTGAGAGGGAGCGCGGACTTGGCAACACTGGCGTCACGTGAACAGTAGCTAGAACGAGACTGAGTAATGTGAGACCTGTCAGCAATTATCATGTCAGCTGTGTGGAGTTATTTTAAAAAAGTGTGCATTTTGTTTTGTGAGTCTCCGCAACGGCGATAGATTGGAGCGCGTCCGAGTGAAGATTGTGCGCGCGCCACAAGAGAACACTGTATCCGTGCAACTGATAGCAGCGGCAACGAGCGCTCAGCTTGATTTAAAAAAACAAACACATTTTAGCGCTAGGTCTAACTATGTTAATTAATGCTCTGTTAAATGGAGATGTTTTATTTATTTGTATTACATCTGTGCCTCATAATGTTTCAAAAGTGGTGGGGGGCAATATCGATCCTGAGAAAAAGTGGCTGGGACATGTCGCACCCTCAAATTACACCTATGATCCCCAGATGTTACATGTGAAAAACTTTAGAGCTTGGACTGTCTCTCCAAAATGTTTTTCCCCTTTATCAGGTGTAATGGCCTAGTAGAGTTTAATTTGTGAGTGCCTTATTGTACTATTCTGTTCTATTGTACATTTTATAATGGAGATACCATTATTTTTATGGTAGGTTATACTTATTTAAGTTATGACTACATAGAGTTTTGTGTTACATCCAGTATTTGGCACTGGAATTATATATTTTTTTATTTGCACAGTTGGACTTTAAATTTAATTAATTGAATGGTGCTGAATAATTAAAAATGCTGCTACAAGTTCTGTTTAAAAATCATTTTAATAAAAATTAAGCAGCAGTAGATGTTGTGGGCTACGTATTTCTTCCTTTAGGGGAGTAGAATATTTATTGCACTATTTGAGCATGATGCTTTTTAGATGGCTAGGTTAATCACAGTGCATCCTCCTGACAAACGTGTTATTAACAGCTTAATTAAGAGGGAGAAAAATATGGTATGGTATTGTATCAGTATCGGTATCGGCAGATACTCAAGTTTGTGGTATCAGTATCGGTATCGGACATGAAAAAGTGGTATCGAGCCAGCCCTAGTTTTGGACGAGACTAGCTTGTCCAAACAAAATGGAAGACGGTGACAAGACTTTTGGAAACGCCATTACTTTAATGCAAATAAATGCGAAAGGGAACTGTTGCAAGCCGGATTCAAATGTGTATCATCCACTTTAGCACCACAGTTGATCGTGACGCATGTGGTATCAAACTTCTTAATAATATGAAATGTCTGGTGAGTAATTATGAAAATGATCAATAAAACTATCACATATCCAAGGGTCTGTTTGAGACTTCACGCTGAAATCTATCCAGTGGCATCATCCATCATCCTTATAAGCAGGTTAACTAGAAAATAAAGACCAGCACACGGTAATTCACTGCTGTCCACACTCATTACATCCCTCTCTGTTTTCCTCGCCTCACGGCCCTGGGGTCCTCAGACAGTCGGGATGATTGGAAATGAAGGTTGCGAGATGCTGGACAGACAGCTAAACTTGTCAGGGTTAGAATGCTAATGGGGCACCTGGCCATGCTAACGTGTGGTTACCCGTTTCTGATTGCAACGCATTGTAAGCCCAGATGAGAAAATGACTGTCATGGTGTTAAGGGCATTTAGTGAGCAACTGTTTCCAAAATGCTCTTTTGCTGGTTCTGTGGGTAAGGTGAACACGTCTAATTGGACAAAATTAGAGTTGTTTGCGCTGATATTTTTGTTCAGTTTCTTAGAAAATGAGAAAGTGTACATTTTAAATGCGTACTGTAAACTGTCGTTCAAAGGTTTGGGGTCAG